TTCTTCATATATTTACCTCAACTAATGATTGTTATTGCTATATTTTGTTTAAAGAAAGACCAAGTTATTCTAGAGAAATTAAGGAAATTGGAAAACCAGGCCGAACAACAAATGAATGATTTTTCTTTAGCACCGGAACACACAGGCAAGTATAGATAATTCACAATGAACACTTCTATAGTACATGGTGTAATGTCGAAAGGTAGCAATGGCTTATTCAGAAGATAGATCCTGGGCATGCGCAGAGATTGGTTYCAGGGKTTTTGGAGCCCCTTATTTGTCATATCAATAGGTCAACATACTTTCAGATAGTCCAAAAGTTTATTTGATGTGATTCCAATCCAAAACGATAATCACACAAATATTGCAGTCAATCGTCTTCTTCGCCGTCTTGACTAAAGTGAAAAGCAATGCTAAATCTCTCCTTTTATAAAAACCCTGCGCACGTCCTGTGAATATTCATGTTCTAAACGTGAAAAAACCCCTCTAGCACTGTTAGCCTAGCCATTGTCTCCGGCACACACTTATTCGTTGAGTACAAGTTTAAGAATCAGTAGTGTCTCACAACATCGTCATTTCGTTGTCAAAGTTCTAGCTATGTTTCTTTTCAAGATTTAGCACAAAATTTCTCTCGTTTTGCACAAGATTGATCCAACTTGCAGCACAATAAAAATAATTGTTTTGAGTTTGGCAAAACGTGTTGAGCAAAATAGACYATTGGTCAACATTGGTGTTTGCTGACTCGTATTCCACAACACGTCCAACTTGCCGTGCTACACGACGACTCCCGTAGACTGACTGAAATTCTCCTAGCGCGTGGTTTGCCCAACTGCAATACTAAGTACTTTTTGTTGCCTAGTAAGTTGGATTAAAAAAGAAGAAAGAATCTCAACCAAAAAGAAAGAAAGAAAAAAGATATTAATTATGAAATAACGGGTACAATAACGATGTTACGTGAAAGTTCAACGCGTGGCTTTCTCGAAAATTTTGACGTCGTATTTCCTCTAGCAACTTAAAGCTGTTTCTTTTTTTATTGTAGGAACAGAACTTGAAGCAGAGGAATTTTGGCCATCCACTTTAGTCACTGAAATGTCACCATTTGACAATACAGCAAGAAGGAGAGGTAATTATGGAACATTATAGTTTTAAAATCATGATTCGTAAGCGGCGGCATATGATATACACTCATATTTCTTCAGACTCATACCCAGTCGTTACTCTTATTTTGCTACATTCGAAAAGGCACATTGCGCGCCGAAAAAAAAAGCCGAGAGAAGGGATTGGGTACGGTCTTGAATTTCTTCTAATTTACTATATTTGTTTCAGCACGCTCTTTGTCAAGTCTGGATGATCTCAAATTAGGTGGCGATATTGAAATGGTAAAATTAAGCRAAGTGACTTTAGCAAGTTAAGGTGGCTTCCTATAGTTTGATGTAGCTAAATATTATGCCAAACAAAACTTTGATCAATGCTTTATTACTGATCCAAACACCGATTAAGTCGGTGCATGGCAAGATTTTCAAAAAGCGAATTTAAAAGGCGAGGTATGGTCGAAAAAAAAATATATAGGAAGCCACCTTAATTTACACTGAGCAGGGGAGCAAGCTAACGAAAAAAAAAATTGAAAGCAAGACGGCACTATTGAGAAAACAAGCAAGTGAGAGAATTAGCAAAGAATATTATTGAAATCTTGCTAAGACTCAAACAAAATTGACTGTACTGAGTTCAAGGACCATAGTCTGCCAGCATTCAATGCAGTCGTGCATGCTTTAGATTTTCATATATGAAAAATGAAGTGACTTCAAATTTCCATTTACAATCCGTTTCCATCCGTTAAATTGGTCGAATCTTACAATATCTACATCTATTTACACTATACGTTTTTGCTTATATTACGATATGTTCTTTATTTATTTTCAAACATAAACAAAAGCTCGATAGGGATGCCGGGGGATCATGGGCCTCTAAACAAACACGCTCGTTCTGGTCCACACTGAACTTCACTCTGATTATTTTCCTTTATTTTGTCAGGAATCATTCACTTCTTTTGGACCATCCTACTTGCAAAACATTAAGCAATTAAGGTACTGTATGTATACGATGGAAACACTGAAAATCATAAGACTAATCATAGTTGTGATTGATTACGAATGATTATTGTGATTCGTGATTATAATCATTTTCTTTGGCATTTACGAAATTGAGGATAAAAAAGAAAAAACGCTCTCATGATGTTTATATTTTTCTTATTCCTTCTTTCTTTTTCTCTTTTTCACTGGAAAAATCGCGCGCTTTAAAGGTTGTAAATTTGATGTAAATATGATGTAATTGTCCAAAATTCTGTCAATTTGATGTAAATGATTTACAACAAATTTACATCATTTTGGACACTTACATCATATTTACATCAAATTTACAACCTTTAAAGCGCGCGATTTTTTCCAGTGTATCTTTTTTCCCTTTTTTCTTTCTAACTTTTTTTGTTGACACAGGAACCTACACGAGCTATGTGGCTTAGGAGCAAAGGAAGGAATCAATAGATTAAGAAATTTTGTACAGGTCAGCGGTTTAAATGAAATACTGAAAATGTGGCGTCATTTTTTAAACTATCAAAATCTTTTTCATTTTTTATCAGTAATSAATGCTAAAAACACAAACGTCAATTGTATTGTTACAAATTCTTTTCATTGTAAACAAAAATTGCTTAATAACCTATACCTTAATTCTTGCTATCCCATCCTCAACTACCCCTCTCTTGTCTCGCTTTTAATTATTTTCGGTTATAACCCATACCGGAGCAGCTCATTCCCGAGCTATAGTCATCTTAAGTTCGTTCCAATATTTTTATTCATTCTTCATTATTTGCATTTTAGAATTTTTCACAAGAAGAGATTGCAATTGCTATAGAAAAGACCGAGGGGTGTCTAGTTGGTAAAGGAYTTCATGATCTCTTGTACCATATTATGATTGACTTATTATTAATCTTATTAATTTTGTTGGTATTATGTATTCATCCAGATCCTTCTACGTCGCTGTTGTCTTTAGGAAGAAGTGTCGTTTTAAACTTCACATCGGGTGTCGACTTGAAGTAAGTCCACTCAATCACTTGCTCATTCACTCACTCTCCTGTAAACTCGTTGCTATTTCTCTTTTTAAAGACAATCACTAAGGGCTCATTTGCAGCTACGCCAAAGCAAATCACACAAATAAATAAAATAAATAACTTTATTTTACGAGGATAGCACATTTCAGTCAAAGACTGATAAACTCGTGGCCCTCCTCTAACACTTACTACCTCTACATTAAGTATTTTAGCACACAACACTCCTCACATGCTGATTTTTGCTGAGGGAGGAAAACCGGAGGACCCGGAGAAAAACCCTCGTGGCAAGGGAGAGAACAACACATCAAACAAACTCAAAACTCACGTATGGTCCGTGCCCGGGAATCGAACCCGGACCACAGCGGTGAGAGGCCAGTAGCTTAACCACATGCCACACATGAAATAACACTTGGAACATCGATATCCCGGACTCTGTGCATGGTTCTTTACAAATTATTCACGCGCTTTAAAGGTTGTAAAATGATTTCCATTAAATTTCCATCATTTTGGACACTTACATCATATTTACATCAAATTTACAACCTTTAGAGCGCGTGATTTTTTCCAGTGTATTGTCCMCTGAAATGAGATCGTTTTTTTTCAAAATACTTTTATAGGAGAAGCATGAGTATTAACAGTGGAAAGTTCACCGCGAATATGGCTATTTCTGTTCTTCAGCGAAGGCAATCGGTAGGTACTTCTCGTCGAAACACGTGACGGCACAGAAAACCCGCAACCTGACATGAGAAAATGTGCACTTATGACGTCACCAAACATGATGTCACAAATATGACGTCATCAGTACAAAAGGAGCAATGATGGGATCATTCAGGTGATAACTGTGTAATGCTKCAATTATTTTCAGTTTGGTAGCGGTTGTAGTGCTTGTAGCACAGATTCATATAAGTCATGTTTGGACGAYTGTGCGTTTGATTCGAGAAGGTCGAGTGATGGAATGCTCCCTCGCTTCGTTCCTTCGTAAGTAAACATTTATTTATTAAGGGGGGGCTATTATAGGGGTTGCCATATCGTAAATACGCACACAAAAGTGCGTTGTAACCGTAAACCGCGTTGCAAAATCGGCATAGCTGCAGCCTTGAATGTCTTCACAACCGTAAATTGACACAAAAACTATGAGAACAATGCCAAAAACCGACCAATAAAATTAACAGAAACTATGTGCACTATCACAAGCGTCCAACTAAGGGTTTATACAGCAATTTCAGAAAAATCTCGAGTAATGGATACTACGACGCATATTCCAAGACTGAAATGCATTGTTGTTATTTGATTCAAACGGCGTTCAACAAAGCATTTTGGGATGTGTAGTCCTCGTACTTTTTCGTGTCTGCTTAGAAAGTATTCCTGCGCCTTTTCTGCCTTTTCTCTTCAGCAATAAAGGTAGCGTAGTTGGATTGTAACTACAAGGGGAATATGTAAAGAGTTTTCAGAGTGATTTTAAAGGAGATAAGTGCAAAGATTACAACACACATAAGTAATGTTTACAACATGAGCGTTTGTGTTTTATGGGATTTTACAATCTCGAGCCGAAGGCGAGAGATTGTAAAGCCCGTGCAACACGGACGCGAATGTTGTAAATGACTTGTGAAACGTTTAGGTGTATGCATTCATAATCTACTAAAAACTTAAAGATAAAATTGAATTTGGCTGAAAAATTATGCAAATCAAGACAGTTTTGTATCAAATATTATAACACTCTTCACAGTTGTGATTTCTATTGTGTTTTCATTAATTATTCATAAGTTTTACAATTTATTTTACAAAATGGCGTCGTTGCACATTGCCTATTTCATGTAAAGTTAGTTTTTGTCTCAAACTGACACATGCAAATCAACAATGCATTTCGGTRTTGGAATACACTATCCCGTGTCACAGTATTCAGAAGTCAACGTTTTTTGAAAAGCTGTATTCTTCGTTTTCAAGTTACGACATAGCGGCCATATTGGAAGTACTTCAACAAATGATTTTTCATTGGTATCTATTGTTTATTCCTACAACAAGGGCGCCGCGGTTTTTAATCTTTTGAATCTCATATGGAATGATTGAAAACAATAATTATGAGCAAATGTTATAGTTAGATAAGATATCTATCTTTGTTAATTGTGTAAAACGTTTCATCTGTAGGTCTTCGATCCACGCCGAGCTCCACTTTGATGACTATGACACATTCGACTCGGACACAACCCCCGAGACACCGACCAGCGAGTTCTCGGTCCTACCTTTCGATGGCGGTAGTCATGACAACCTTTCTCTGGGTAGCTTCCTCGTTATAGATGATCACGTCTTTGGGAGGCAAACTAGCGAGATGTACTCGATTGAACAAACTAGGAATGCCTCATTAATGCGCAGAAGTCGTAGTTTGGAAAACTTGCCGTCAATGGTACGAAAAGAAAACCCGACCAAAGAACAGGAAGTCCTCTGTTCTTCAGTTGGACGGGTTGCAAATGTTTATGGCGAAAGGACTTCTGGGAGTGCAGATGTGAAAGTCCCGGATGATGTTTCTTCAGAGYTGGAGGAAAATAAAATGCGCGACAACAAAAAGGCACAACATAAACCATTCGTAAAGAAACTTAGACTCGAAAGTGAGTAAATATATACACCTTTTTCTGGAAACTTACAGGCTAGTGACGAAAGTTATCAATCAATTTACAAAGGAAATGATTTCATGGCAAACAAAGATATATGAGAGGTTTTTTTGTTGTTGCGACATCGTAATTTTATGCTTGCGATTTTTGCCGAGCGATTCTCGCGGCGATCGTTGAGCGACCATCGCCTGAGTTTCGAACAGGGCTGTTCACACGTACGATTTGAGTTGCGCGATAGCAAAGTGGCGATTATCGCACTGTAAAAATCGCAAGTGTAAACGCGCTTTAAGGCGGTTAACAAGAGTCCAAAGATGTTTGATTGAGCATCTGTTTTTTGTCTGGACAGAGCCTGCTTATGTGTTTGGTCTCTCCGCACCATCTATTCTTCGTTTGCAGGTTGCGTCACAGCGGCCATCTTGGAGGAACTTTAACAAAGRAKTTCTCAKTAGTATCTATTGTTCATTCCTCCAACATGGCCGCCGGTCTTTTATCTTTTGAATCTCATGGGAATGGTTGAAAACGATCAATCGAAAAGAGTCGACTTTATTATTTCAACGTTTCTGTATTATTTAATATCTGGTTTTGTTTACAGAAGATTGTAGCACTAAACCGAATACCAAAAGACCAAGATGTCATGTGAGGTATTATTCACTACTAATGCCTGGTATATTTTGCGCTATTTGATTGGTCGAGAATCGTGTGCAACAACGGATGATGTCATTCAATCTAAGCGTGTGTCCTGATTTGTTTTCTTTTGTTTTCGTTTTTGTTTTGTTTTTGTTTTGTTGTTTTTGATGTTTTGAATCACCATGTGAATGGTTAATAACGATAAATTCGACTTCGTCTCAGGGCATGCTTCTGAATGGATGTTATAAAGGTCCTTTTCACAATTGACTTCCATTTCTTTCAATCCTAGAAATGAATCTCAACCTTTACGGTGCTTTGCAGAGGAGGTCTGCAGACCTATGGATGCACAAATTGGTAAAAACACAATGCTTCCAGTTTACTCACTAAAAAAATAATATAGTTGTTTCCGATCGAATGTTGGGCACGTTTGAATTGCAAGGTCTTACGGGTGTCTTATGAATACAGACAGAGAACTTGAATTGACTTAAGTTAAGTTTCATGACGATGTCCAAATAAAGTTAGTTCTGTGCATACCTTCGTAAGGGAAAGTACATTTTTTATGCCGAAGGGGCCTTGAAAAATGTGTGACAAGCCAAACAGGGCTCAACAAATTAATGAGATATTTATATGACATATTCATACCTCACTCGGCATAATAAGTGTACTTTCCCTTAATCAAAATTCCGTCTCGTTGAATGCTGTTTTGCGCTTTGTCCTTTTTCTGTCTTTTCTTGATTTACCTAATATATTCCTTTTTAAGTTTCTCAGTTTCCTTCTTCCTGTCTAGCTTTGTTGGTCATTCTTTTTATTTCATTCCTACAATTTCATTTCGTCTTTTTCTTTTCCATTATCCGTTCTTTCCACTTCCCATTCTTTTCTAATTAGTCTCGACTACGAAAAAAGAATGCATCAAGTAAGTAATAGTCTTCGTTTCTAGGGATCAGCGGTATCCTGGAGTTCAGGAACAACTACAGCTGTGGAATTCATCTAATCTATGCTCTTCTTAGTGCAAGGCCTGTAGTCATACAAGCAAAACCGGAAAATGAAAGGTATTGAGMCGTTAATTTGTCATTCAGTTTCATATTTAAGGGGAAGTCCAGTCTATTTAATAATAAGATCTCGAGGGCGAGTGGAGTGGAGTACGAGGTCGAGAGATCTAATTGTTTTACTATTACCATACTAGTTGGACAAAAAATGAATGAAATATATAAATAGCTGAATGTTTTTATTGCTAAAAATACGCAAAAAAGTTGTCGCTTTTCGCTAGTCGAGAACTATTGAAATTGGACCCCGAGTAGCGTAGCCAATCAAAACGAAGGATTTGCAATGAGTGAGTCCACTAGTGTCGTAATACTAAAACCTCATATCAAGTGGACGCTAGTCTATATTCATCTATATTCTATATTGATCATATTTTTAAAAGAGACTGTGTCTGACCGCGCTTTTTTAACATGATGTCTAGGGAAGTCCGGTCTCTCATTGCGACACTGTGGATGTTTGTCTCCGAGACGAGTAGGTAAGTTTATTGTAAATAAGTTTTATCCTTCAGATCCCTGCTATATCAGTTTGTTCCCCCCCCCCCTTCTCCTTACCAAATTCATTAATAATTCATAAGGTAAACACAATGGAAAATCATTGACGTGACCAAATCTTTATATGAGCAAGAGATTTGTCCTGATTTGCATACGACTTTAACTTCGATTTCGGCTCTTACAAATGATATTTTATCCTGAAGTTTTTTTCGAAATATGCTTTACCTTATTCTGGAATTTGATAAGCAATATAAAATATTCACGTCCAGTCTTTAAGGGCTATAAAACTTCTCGCTTGCAGGTCTCCCGCTCATATTTTATATATTACTTATTACTTTCCTTCCTTCCTTCCTTCCCATTCCATCTCCTCTTCTCATTTCTCTTACTTCCTTTCTTCATCTTTCATCCCTACCTCCATCACATATCCCCCATATTCTACCTTCTTCCGTTTTCCTATGATCCAATCATTACGTTAGCTTCCCATGCACAATTTCATTATCACCGTCTGTCATTAATCAGTTCCATTGTTTTCGTAGCTGCCATGGACGTGCTGTCATCCCGTGGAGAAAAAAGGCCCTTCACATCACAGATCTRCCTTGCTTAAGACTAGTTGGTCTCTGTAAATCTAATAGGCGATGCCTTATACCCAAGTCTGTAGGGGTAGGAAAAAAAGATTAGACCAGATTAGACATTCTTTATCGAACACCTTGACAGTTTAAAGGGTCCGGACGCGACAGTAGGCTTTGACAAGCCCAACAGGCCGCAGAAAAACAAAAGGATTATGGCTATGACTATGACAACGACAACAACTACAACCCCGACTACGATTGCGACGACCACTTGCATTCGAAAACCTTTCCCATCGTTTGTTTTGTTTTAAGAATGGTCTGTTCTTAGGAGTTGATTTCTAAATGGTTCAAAATAGAAAAAATAAAAACATTTTTCGTACTTGAGGAAATCACGCAAAGGTTGTCGGATGATCGTGGACCTTTAAGTTCGGCGATTGACTCAGGACTTACTTTAGGTTTGTGTCTATTTTTAACAGCGTTATGTATCGATATTGGACTACGAAACTGGAATAATTGTATCGCCTCCATATAAGGTAATCATCACCAAAAACTGTTTTTTCATTGGATACTTAAGTCTTTTTCGGAACCTACCCTTTTGTCGGGCTTCCTGTCCCTCTTTTGGGAAGGACAGGAAGCCCAACAAAAAGGKAGGTAAGATAGATACGTAAATAATGTGTGTTTGTGTTGTTACAGGGGGTCTTCTTAAAAGCTGCTTTTAGTTATAGAAACTCCTGGCCGGTACGTAATATTGTAGCAATGTTGGGCCCAAAGTCAGTTCMYGGCAAAGTGTCAGCGGTCTGCTGACGCCGCAAGCACATTGAATTTGCAACGCTTTTCCGTCTCAAATAATGCAAATTTTGTTTTCATCTTCTGATTTCAGTCAAATGCAACACTTCTGGCCTACATGCACAGGTACAAATAAATAACATTTTACCCTCTTATTTTTTATGAGACATGTAGGGACAAACTCTAAAAGCATTAGCTATGAAGCCAACTATGTTGGCGAGCAGTCGTTTGGTAGAATCCATCCAAGTGTTGGAATTATGTTCTGAAAATCCACGATCGCATTTCACTTAMATCTGTTCATCGCGGTACAGACCATAATTTCAAAAAAACCTAACCAAATTCTTGGTTTGCAAGTTACTTCATCACCGCCATATTGGATGGAAATCAATTAGTTTCTCTCGTTCATTCATCCAACATGGCGGCGATAACTTTGTTAAAAGAATAGTGCTAAAAGCGCATTACAGTGTAGATTAGACAACAGAAAACATGGAAATTCGCATGATTTAGTTCGCATAATTTAATGGCACTTAACTATTTCATGATTGTAGTGTTTGGCACTAATTATAAGCCATTTATTTTTTGTTTTAGTTTATTTTTGGAGTTGGCATGCAAGGCGTATGTTCTCTATTACACTTGTGCTCTTGGACCTGCACTCATTGAGTAAGTACGAACGATATAAGCGTTTGATATTAACCTTTTGCTGTTCATTTAACCGGATATTCATTTAATTAAACAAGCATAGACCTTTTACAAAATCATCGCATTGTGGTCTAGCTTCAGTACAAAAAACACCATATTTGGCAGCATGAACAAAAAGATGTTTGTACCGAATCTAGACCACAATGCAATGCAAACTGCTATCTTAGAAAAGACCTATTGTCATAGTGCCTAGTGTAAAAATGATCGTCACATACGCGTTTTGCCATTGTAGAATCCCTTGAGAAAACTAGAGCAATGGAAAAACGTGTTTTAGACGATCATRTAATGAACGGAGTCTCAAGAGAGCAATATGGAATGTTCATTAAGATATTTAGCATTGAATTTGACAATCTKGAAGATTTTTTCGTCAGGTTCATTAAAGGTTTTCAAACTTTCACAAGCGTTTTTATGTAAACAATATCAGTGTTGTTTTGCCTTTTCATTCTAATGGCAATGCTTCTTCGCTTAAATGAATATTCCTTCGCGGTTCATGTACAGCAAAAGGTGTACATAAGGTGAACAAGAACTCACTTACAGCTACGAAGAACATACTAAGGTTTATTTATATTTTCTTCTTTTCCCAGTAGCAAAGCATCAGGAGATTCCAAAGCAAGCACGGTGAGTCATAATAAATTTTCAGGCCATTATAACTGAAATAATCTTCAAACGCTTTGTGTACTTATTTCTAAAGGCAATGTTAAATGGTGCAATATTTTCAGATATATATTTCGACACSTCGCAAAAGAAATTAGTGGTATACTTCGAGAGGTTTTTCACTATAATTTTTTAGTGTTTAGAGCAGCGTTTCACGAAGTAGAACTCGGATATACGCATCGACGTGAAATGGCAAATTGAGTAGAATACAATTCCTCCAGTCCCTTCAATTCCCTCGCTATTTTGTGGTACGTCCTCTCTGAGTGGTTGTACAATTTCTTGGCAACCACCGCTGCTTTTGCAATACTTTATTTTACTGTTTACAACGACATCTTGAAAGGCAACCGAGGCTTTGCGCAAAGCGAGACTGTGGCTGAGCTTGTAATGATAGATACATGATGTCAATAATAGTCTTCTTCACGGTTCCCTGTGCCTTCTTGAAAGGTATCCGTGCCTTTGCGTCGAAGCGAGACGGACGTTCAGCGTGCAATGATAGAAACCTTGTGTCACACCTACAGACAATTATTCACAGGTATCTATCATTGCACGCTCAACGGTTGTCTCGCTTCGATGCAAAGCCACGGCTACTTTTCAAGATGGCGCAAGGAACCCTGAAGAAGACTATTGTCTCGGGTATGAACAAAAGGCATCTATCACTGTCTCGCATTGTTACAAAGACTCGGCCGCTACCTTTTAACTTGGCGCTGGAAATTCTGGGAGTGCTCTCTAGCAACAAAAAATGTTCTATGTTAGAAGTCTATACGTCTTGAGTTAYATTGCACTGTTTTGTTTTAGGATGAGATTGAGGTTCTTAATCGCCTTGGAGTTCACTTTTCTGATGCAGCGATAGTTCAGGTAATCAATCCATGTATGAATAATGTATTGACAAATTATTGGATGGATGAACGAATAAATTTATTAATGAATAGATGAATGGTTGGAAGAAAGATTGGATGAACTAAGGAATTTATTGAATGGATGAATTGATAGATAAAAGGATGTATAGYGATACTCAATGTAACGTAAGCCTTTGTTATTCATGTGCCACAACCAGAAGAAGATTGTCAGTTAGAACAAAGCGACTTTTCAAAAGCCAGTTTGATCGTTCTAACATAAGAATGAGTTTGTTGATAAACATTAAGTATCGCTATTCGTCAGGGGCCGATACAGGGGGATGGGGGGTTGAAAAAAGGACTGAAAAGAAAGAAATAAACCAATGAATGAAAGAGCGATCATCGTGCTGAGAATTTTAAAAACCAGCGAGTAAGTTAGTGGAAAAAGGACGGGAATTTCAATCACGACATATATTTTCTCTCTCTCGTTCTCTTTCTTATTTTCATTTTTTTTTTAATTTCTTTGGCGCCACCACCTGATGAGGTTCTGTGACTTTACCATTTGTTGTCCGAAGAGCTTTTCTATCAGACGAACCGCTTGATGATAAGCTCACGATAATTTATTTTTCAGCACTTTGCTGAGGTCATCAAGAATCAGCAAATTGACTCCTATTTCAGTGGCAACGAAGGTGAGTCATAATAACCATGGTAACGGTGGTTTTAGTTCGTTAATCCAAAATTTTCTTTATTTTACAAGAAATAAAAGCACAGACCATAATCAACGATCTGTCAAAATGCACAAAGTTCCGAAATCTTCCTCCRTTTAATCCGTAATTAAACCTGGGAGAGACAACCATCAAAGACAACCCTTGATTGGACTGATTCTTTGGTGGAATATCGGTCGCTTTTCGGCCATCAGTCGTGCATTTATCGTCACAGACGATGCGTCGAAAGTCCCCCGACTATGGTACCATGGAAGTTCGAAACAGTAACTTTTTTTAAATAGCTCGTTATATCTTCAATTAATTATCTTGTTGGTTAGTGTCGGTCGTTTTTCGGGCATCAGTCGCCATCTAAATTCTCTGACGACGTTCCGAATGTCGCCTGGCTATCACACGATAGAAGATTGATCTAATGCTTTTAGGTAGTTGTTTTCTTACTTTTTACGTGTTTATGTCTGTCGATTAATGATTATTTGGTGATCTGTTTGATATCGCCTCAATGTCATTCTGACGAAAATAATCCGACTGTCCCACGATGAAATATCGATCGGGACTTTCATCATGTAGGTCGTTATTCGCCCATCAATCGCAAAATAATACAAATACAAATGAATATCATGAAAGAAATTATTTATAAATCTATATGAAACATGTCAAAT